CTGTACCTCCAAGTACCAAATGTTGGTAACGTCAGAATTTTGTAGCTGAACACGCATTGCACAATAAAGCCATTTAAAAAAATTATTCCTCACACGAGCTGGAGTCCCGTATGATTATTTCATACAGAACAAGAGTATACAAACTAAGACCAGAAAACAAGGCTAGGAGTTCAGTAGCTTGTCCAAACGTTTTAAACAAGTCTTGATAGGAACTGTATTTTATGTAGGCAAAACACATTCTCTACACTAAAAGCCAGTTACAGTAAATGCATAGTCTAAAGTTCTTTAAAAAGTACAGACTAACATAGCCATAGGATAAACTTTAATCGATGGCTATGTTAATCTCGAATGGATTTAAAGAATAACAGACTGTTACAATAATCCATACTAGCATTAAGACAACTGTTCCACAAAATATCTATTTCATAAGCTAAACACAACATTTTAGTCATGGTATTTTTGTACCAAATCCTACCTTTTAAGGGCCTCTTTCACTTCTGGCACTGAGCGGATACACTGAACCGTAGCATTCATGTAGCAAGTGTTGCCAAGGTTTGTCAAACCACATGGTAATTCCATCTACCAAAAAAAATTACAAGGGCGCTTGAAGGTCTAAGAGAGATTTGCAATGATTTTTTTGTATAAACACTATAATTTGATATTGACTTTGAAGAAAAGTAATGATCAGAGATGTGTAAAACCTGGAACATTTCATCAAACTTTACAAAGTTTTCCAGATCCATTTTCTGATGGTATTAATCATTTCACCATTTGGTGCTTTTAGAGGGCATACAGGAATGCTTTGGGGTTTTTTTTCTATGCATGTTTAGTTTAATGAGCATATTCTTCAAGCAGGCAGTCATTCAGAAAGTTCACCTATAATCTCATTCAAGTTTTGACCTTAAAATACTACTTCCATTAAATTTCCACATGAATACATTAGTATAAAACACTGATGTTTTAATTAAAACCAGTTTTCAGTAAAACTCTGGATGTGACAGAGTTCATAGTCAGAAACAAAAGCATTATTTAAACTCCTCTCCAGAAGTCTGCAACAGATCATTAACTTGATCCTTTCAGACAACTTGTGAATTTCTAAAGTTCCGACAAATGTGAAGGCCAACTAATAATTAAACTAAGCAGTTTCAGAAACAACTATAAATCACAATATAATAGCATTTTTCCTTTCTTTTTTTTTAAATCTTGCATATTTGAGTAGTAGTCAGGGAAAAGCACACAGTGTAACAAAACTGAAGTAGCACTGCATACCAATACGACTTAACTATTATAGAAAGAGAGAATTCATTTAGCTGTGTACCCAGTTTTTAATGAATACATGCAGTACAGACAATTGAATTTTGATGTATAACAAAATTTGAATCAGAGAAATGCAATGCGACCAGCTTTTTCAAAATGTTACGTGACACTGAATCATCTCCCTGTTTGTCCCTCAGTTATCTGTCAGTGTATAGATTTAGTCTATAGTCTAGTTATCTAGTCAGTGTATAGATTTAGTCTGAAAAATACATAAATGTGGTTCACCTGCTGGTGCCATGGAAAGCATTAAATACAGAAGCACAGAACCAGTCCTAAACTACAGATGCGTCCTCATATGGACATCCATAAAAGAATTCCCGTTCTACATGAGCAGTTAACAAGTCATGCAACTGTTTTAAGTACGACGATGAACTCCTAGTTCAAATAACTGATGAGAAAATTAAGCCCTTAAAATTGTAAAAAAACCCCAGTTCTTCCAGACTTTACTCCCATAAAGGAAAACATATCATCAACTCAATTCATGTTAAACTTATTTTCATTTTTCAGGAAGAAAAGTTTACCTAATACTACTAACAAGAATAAATAAAACCCCCCACACACCCCACCCCAAACAAGATATGGAGGTACAAAAAAAGTTTGCGCATCTAAGAGGCCTTATTCAGGCAAAGTTCAGGACACTAAGACAGCAAGGGCAATACAACTTTGTCTTTAAAAACAACAGCAATGATGTGACTTTTACATTAAATAAATGTGACTTTTAAATCAAATTCCAGACTTCTCATCTTGCTAAAAGATGGGTCATCAACACAAATTTGCAACTCTTTGAGAAGCTATCAATGCTAACCAGACATTACAGTTTCAAAACCCACTTGTAAGCAACTGCAAGTATTCAAAAACCTGCCACTATTCAAAGGTTTACAAGAAACCGACGTTTAAAATATGCTTACAGCTGAAGCCAACTGCTCCTCTGTCATGTCTTCTACAAAAACGGGTCGAGAAATTGGCTCTTCTGGAAGCGCATCTGCGGAACCCATCATTAATAAGGTCATCCCCTTGAAAAACAGTAAAAATAGCAATAAATGTTTAAAGGCAGTTATTTGCACTAAAAAAATTAAATCATTAAGCTTTTGACATATCTCAGCTATTTCCCTCAAAATACACACAATTTTTCTCTTAGTTTACAGGACTGCTACTGCACTGCTGTTTCTTATGGGTATACCTTAACTTTCTCATTATCTTGAAAGTACTTAATCAAGAAAAACTCCACAGCATTATCCGTGCTAGAGGTTTCCACTGAGCCTGGTGAGTCTGCAGCAGCTGACAACGCAAGATTCCAGTCGAGACTAAATTTAACCTCCAAGGAATACCCCAACGTGAAGCATTTAGAAAAGCTCCCTTCCTGCTGGACCAGTAGGGATCATGCACCTTCAACACTTCAGTGCAAGTTTTCCTCTTTCTCTCCAGCCTTAGAAAACACCTTGGAACCAAGGACAACTGAGCAGCCAACTTCCAATTTGAAGGAAGCTGCAAAGTTTGAGGTTCCAAATCAACTGAGTCTCAAGTTCTCAAATTCAGAATTCTCTAAACAACAACAACAAATCCCGAGAATCTGGGGAAACAATTCAGACATATGTGGGTCATAAGGAGGACCACAGCTCCAAGTTTCAAATTGTTTTTTTTCCATCAGAAAAGCAACTGGGAAAGGGAAATGCCATTCTTTGGTCTGGCACGTTCTGAGAACATTAAATCAATCAAAAAGTGAAACATAACCAAAATGACCCCAACAGTTTAGGCATGAGGAGTAACATTCAAGGGAAGAAAAGACCAATGAAGTTATCGTGCTTGATGGACTTGCATAAGGAAAGGGAGTTTTCCAGCATTCAACGTGAGTACATCTACACAATAAGATCTATCAAAGGAGGAGAAAATGGCTATCTGGGGCCTTGAAAAAGACTGTGCTAAGGAAAAGGATGGACAACAGAACAGAAAGACACTGCTTTGACGGTGTAAATAAATCCCTAGAACTTGTATACAACACTGTTCAAATTAATACTGGCAGCTATTAGCGTAACAGTATGCAGAAAAGGACAAGAATATTGCAGACTGGGGTTTTTGCTGAATTACTTTGCTACAACAGCTGCAGGATGCTAATGGATGCTTGCAAACTAATTACAAGGATACAGTAATGCTACCTAATTCAATCTGCTCAGTGAAGAACTGGAGTAAAATCTGTACCAAAAACAGGTTACAAGATACCCACCAAAATCAAAATGATGAAAAAAAAACCCCAAACAAACAAAAAACCCAAAAATCTTTGGGATTCCCTGTTACAACATTAGATCGGTAAGAAACACAAATAATTCACTTTTTGTTTTCTTTTTGAACTAGTCAAAGGTACAAGTAACCATTATCAATGGCTTTGTTTTTAAACAGCAGTCATTTAGTACAGGAGAACAAATTTCAGCAGGCTGATAAAAAGGAAAGAGACAGAGCATTTCTTCAGCATTTCTGAGCACTTCACAAGCTCTCTCTAAATAACATCACTTACTATTATGGTCTGGGGAAGATAACATAGAAGGACCACTGGTCTGATCAGAACATTTCTTGTAAAGAAAGGAAGAAAAATATGCTCCCAAGTACTTCAGGAATATGGTGTAATTTCCCTACTGATGCTAGAAAAGGTTTTTTTACAAATCAGTGGAGAGGACTTTGTAAGAATGCTTAGGTATGACAGCTGTAACATCATTTTTCATCAAGCTCTGATTTTTAAGAAAGAACTACCCATTCAAACAGAAACAGCAAGAACTTTAATTCTTTCTTTAAATGCCAAAACAGAAAGCAAACTAGAAAAATTCAGTTATTCCTCAGAACTTACATTCTTTATTTTTAGGTTCCCCCAGTCATCATCCTGTATTTGAAATGAAATAAAAGGCAAGTTAACTATCTTGCAGCAAAAGACACACAAGTATTTTCATTAATATTAATCACATATTTCTAAAAATACAATTGTATTGTATATTTCTAAAAATACAATTGTATTGTATTGATATTGTATTGATACAATATCATCCAAGATTCCACAATATTAACTATTAACACATCACCAAGTCTTGTCTGACTAAAATAAAAAGCAGTCATATCATCTTTTCAATATGGTTCTTCATCTGCTGTTTCACATTGCTTACATGTTAGTAACTTTCTGCAGGGAAGCTGTCTGCATTGCATACACCACCAAGTCTCCAGCAAAGAAGAGCCAGAGAAACTTTTCTTAAACAAGCTAAAAAGCAAAAAGTTGCATTCAGATCCTGAACATTAAAAAGGAAGAGAAAAAAATATCCAACAAGCAGAGTAGCATTTGGTACAAAAGAGGGAAAAGGTGTTTCAAAACAGCAGTGTACCTCCCAACCATTTGGCAACAAACTTTTGCCAGTGTTTTCTAGTAGCAGGCAATGGATTACACAGAATTATTTCCAAAAAGTGCTGTCAGTTTAATAACTACGATGAAAGATCTTCAAAAAATGGTCATTGCTCACTACGTTATAATGTAATAAGAATAGAAATATAAAAAAATCCACAAATTTCTACCTTCAGAGTTCCTCCTTTAACCATAACCTTCTGCCTGGCTGGCTGAACTCCAGTCAGTGCAAACAACTGGGCTTTGAAGACCATTGGAGGTTCGTCAGTGTTAAGCTCCACACCATCAAATTTCTCTTTTCCCCATTTCACGTTAACTGCAAACAAAATGTTTTGAAACTACATTATTTGCCAACATACAAGAATGTACTTACCAAGATTAATCCAGTATTTGAAATTTCATGCTTTATACCATCTCAAGTTTTCCACTCTAAAACTTGTCAATAACCAAGCTAAAGGACACCTTTACTACATGGCATCTCAGCTATCAGAACATACTATTTCCAACAAGTCTAAAAAAATCCTACAAAACAATTGTAAGCAACATACATACTGAGAAATTCTGTAAGCAATAAATGTGTGTAACAGTATCAGAAGTTCTTTGGGCGAGTCTCCACAAAAGCAGCTCAAAAGCAACTCTCCCCATCTCTTGGCACCGCAAACAAATCTCTGAGGGAAGCTGAGACGTGCAATTCCAGTTCAGTTTTCTGTAGCATTTCCATTCTCCTTCAACGGCAACACCACCACATTCTTTAAATGCAAAGCAACTGTTTGACAGCCATAGGTTTGCCTACCAGTATTGCTCACATGGAGCTACATGAGGAGGTAAGAGTGCATTATGATCCATAAAATAGCGCAGCTCTTGCTTCCTTTCCATGAAAGGTTAACCCCACAGTGCCATTTACAAGGCCATCGCTGCTACCCTCCTCAGTTTTGACAGCGTTTGCACAAGCAACGCACCCGCGTGCAAACACGGACAACAGCCTAGCACAGGGCGCAGCTCCAGAAGCCCTGACCCCAGTACAGCTGCAGGACTGGCGTTAAGAAGCCAAGTGAAACTTGGTCACGCAAAGTGTGGCTCTGAACACTGGAAATGGGATCACCAGCAGAAAGGTTAGGCAGAATGACATGAAGGCAACATTAACTTCACTTTGGTAACGCTAGTACGAACTAAAAGCAGATAAAAGGAGATTGAAGGGAGACCTTATCGCCCTCTACAACTACCTGAAAGGAGGTTGTAGAGAGGTGGGGGTCAGTCTCTTCTCCCTTGTAGCTAGTGATAGGACAACGGGAAATGGCCTCAAGCTGGGTTGGGGAGGTTTAGGTTGGATTTTAGGAGGAATTTCTTCACTGAAAGGGTTATCAAGCACTGGAACAGGCTGCCCAGGGAGGTGGCTGAAAAGAGGATAGATGTTGTGCTTAGGGACATGGACTAATGGCAGACTTAGGGCTGGTTTGATGGTTGGACTCAATGATCTTCAAGGTCTTTTCCAACCAACATTCTGTGATTCTGAAAATTACTTAAATAGTGTGTTTTTAAAGAACAGTTACACATCCTTGATCGTTTCTGATCACTCTCATACATACAAGAGCCTACAAAGCAACTCAAACAACTGGCTTTTCAGTATTTTAGTACCTTCTAAATTGCCCAACCCTCTGACTTTTTTTTTAAAAACACATTTATTATTTTGCATATTTAAGACCTACCAAGCACAAGTCTCTTCCCATTTTCCAGGAAGACAACCCACTCAGTCACTGAACAAGTCAGCGACACACAGCCTTTTAAGTTTTGCTTTTTTGAACAGTCATGCATCCATCGCTAAATATGCAGGAGATAGCAATTATTAATCTGTAGTGTCACCGTTTTTGACAACCCAGCACTCAAGAAGAGGAAACTTAAGAGCATAAGCGCCTTCTCTTCAGAGATCACGACAAAAATTTCCATGAAAAGTTGACAAAATAAATGTGAAAAATCGCTAAGTCGAAAACAATGGAAACTAAGAAAAAGGAAGGATGTATTTGCCTCACTGAACAGAAAACACAGCTTATACAGATGTGCTGGAGTTCAGGAAAACTCCTGTTGGCCTGACATCAGGCTCCCAGTTTGCCAACCACAGTTCAAAGAGTGAAGAAACAGGGACACAGCTGTGTACTGAGGCCTTCTACAATCTGCTCCTCGCACACTAAAAACCCCCCAGAGACCAGACCTGTGAAACATAAACAAGGCAGTAACTGGTCCTAGAAGAATCCTTAGAGATTTTGCTTTTGCAGTCTTCGCTAGAAACTTTCCTTGATGACAAGGACAGCAAGGAGGATGCGATGCAATGTGATTTTAGAAAATTTTAACTCCTCTGGTTTTAACTAGGAAATAATGGATTTAAAGCAGCAGGGGCAGATGCACCTAAATCAATTTGGAGGCACGGATGCAGAATTATGGCTGGCTTGATAGAGAGCAGCGCTCACCTTGACACAAAACAAAAATAAGCCAAGAAAAGGCAACACTGAAGCACGATCGCACGCGAAACGCGTATGACACCCCTCCGCAGGGCCGAGCCTTGCCAAAGGGGCC